CAAATTTACCATAAATCTTAGCATAAAGTTTTCATCTTCTCTAATAAATAATAATGGCTCTTTGAACACGCACAAGGAGCTATGTCTTTTATTTATAGTCACTCTGATCCTTCCAACGAAATTTCCAAGGAAGGTATTATTAAAATATTAACCGCATTTTGCTGATGAGACAATTGAGCCTCAGAGAATTTTATTAATAACTTGCCTGAGGACACACAGGTCACCCAAAGCTTCCACCCCATGGCCCATGTTAGGTGAAAGGGAACTGGAAGAGAAGTCAGAAAAGCTAGTCTCAAGTCCTGCAGCAACTTTCAACTAGTTGGTGACCTTGTTCAAGTCTTTGTGCTCCAGGGGGCCTTAGTTTGCTGTACTCCCTACACACCCCAGGAGGTAGCTGTGAGGTTATAATGTGAATGTTGGAGCATGAGGCAAACCAAGACAGAACATCCAAGAACCCTCCCGTAAGGCCACAGTTGTAAACGCTTTGGAATGTCTAATATGGAAAGACTGTAAAAAGCCAGGCAGACTCCCCGGAGGAGGGGGTAGAGGAGTAATAGCACTAATATATGAAGCCTTCTATCTATAGAGCCATGTGCTGAACCCTTGGTAGATGCTTTCCCCAAAGCATCCTACCAGCCATGTGAATAGGAGATGGTACCTCCTTGGAAACTGAGCCTGGGAGCATGAGCCCAGCTTTTATGAACAATGAGTGTGATGGGTAGAGCTGGGGCACCACACCAGGCCACACCTCCAGGCTCTGGAGCTCGAGCTCTTCTCCCTCCTCCTAGTCCTTGCTTCTGCTCCTGGCTCTCTTAGATGAGAAGACCACTGAAGCACCGAGAAACCCATGTCTGAGGCCCATCTATGAGACCCAGTATGACTTCCGCAACTTGGAGGACAAGGCTGAGTGCTTCACCAGGTGTGGGCAGCTGGGGAGCGAACCCTGCAGCGTGGGAAACTTGCAGAGGTGAGGGGGCCCTTTGAGTTGGAGCTAAACCCTGGGGTTCCTGGGAGCAAGGAAAGGGATTGGATCATTTGCCCCATGGCCCCAGAAATGTTGCTGCTATCTCGTCCTTTCACCTTGTTTGACACCTCATTCCCCCTGATCCAACACCCTCACTCCAGCAATCAGGGGCTCTACTAATCTAGGCGAGGAATCAGCTCCAGTCATGGTCTTTGGGAGCTGTAAAGGAACAGACAGACCCAAATGATGACAACTCCAGAGTGTGATCATACAGAAGTCCAGACCAGGTTCCAGGTTAGCCTGGAGGAAAGAATTCTGCCAACACTTCCCAGAAAAGGCAACCCATGAAAGAGATTTGAAGGCTGCATGGGAGTTTTCTGGTGGGACCCAGGAAATGGCAGGGGATATAGGCAGAGAACATCAGAATACTGGCAGTGGACTGTCATGCTTTGAACTGTGAGGGCATAAAGTGCTGGGGGGTGGAGGAGAAAATGGGAGATGGGATCGGTAGGAGATAGGACAAGGAATATAAGCTGGCCTAAGGTTGAGAAGGGTCATCTACGTAGTAAGCTATATTAATGGGGAGGGGAGGGGAGCGACGTATTTTAAGCACAAAAACAGTGTAGTCAACGTATTATTTTAGAAAGATTGCTCAGGGTTCAGGGAAAGCTGCAGGAGGCCGAGGAAGAGACGTGACAAGGTAGGATGCAAATGCCATGGTCTAGGTAAGAGTGGAGGTGGAACCAACGCCACCACACCACCAGCTGGTGTTGCAGGCTAGAAAGGAGAGACGGATGGGAGACGGTGCGATGGAGAATCCATAAGACCAAGGAACCGATTAGATGGGGGTGAGGGAGAAGGAGTTTAGAACACAACATTCTCAAGCGTCATCTCCAAAAATATCTCTACCTCTTTCCCTCCCCTCTTCTTTCTAATCAGAGTTGCCCCAAACGCTTCTGGGATACCCAGAAAAGTTTCTGGCACATAGTTAGTACTCAGTAAACACTTGTTGAGGGAAGAACTGAAAACCCCGTCCGTGCTTATGGACATGGTGTTAGGACGGCAGCCTGATGACTTCCATGGCCTGGGAATGCTCCCATCTCTCTGCAGCAGCTCCAGCACCTTTGCAGCAACCAAGTACTGCTTGAGGGCTCATCTTTGCGGTACCTAGATACATACTCAAAATATATATATATATTTTTGCAGTTTTTGGCCAGGGCTGGCTTTGAATCCGCCACCCCTTTGAGCCATAGGCACTGCCCCAAAGAATTTTTTTTAAAGCAGGCCTGGGTTGAACCCATCACCCCTGGTGTGTGGGGCCAACCCTCTAACCACTGAGCTGCAAACACCCAGCTTACTCAAAAGGATTTAAAACAAGTCTTCAAACAAAAGCCTGTGCATGCATGTTCATAGCGGCGCTTTTCACAATAGCCAAAAAATGGAAAAGACCCAACTGTACACCAGTGGGAATGCATAACCAAAATACGGTATATCCATGCAATGAAACAGCATCCACGCATTTAAAAGTGCAACACTGATACGTGCTGCAACATAGATGAACTTTGAAAGCCAGGCCTCAAAGAAGCCAGGCGTGAACGGGCTCATACTGTGCGATTCCATTGCTATGAACTGTCCTGAACAGACATGTTCATAGAGACAGAAAGCAGATTAGGGAGTGGTTGTCAGGGGCTCGGGGAAGGAGGAAGGGAGGGACTGCTTAATGGGTCTGAGGTTTCCCTTTGGAGTGATGAAAATGTCCTGAAATGACAGTGCTGATGGTTGCTCAACACTATCCATGTACTTAATGTCATTGACTTGTGTACTTTAAAATGATACTTTTGGGCTCGGTGCCCGTAGCACAGTGGTTACGGTGCCAACCACATACACCCAGGCCAGCGGGTTCGAACCCAGCCCAGGCCAGCTAAACCACAATGACAAATGCAGCAAACAAATAAAAAAAAAAAATAGCCGGGCATTGTGGTAGTCCCAGCTACTTGGGAGGCTGAGGCAAGAGAATCGCTTAAGCAAGAGTTTGAGGTTGCTGGGAGCTGTGATGCCATGGCACTTTACTGAGGGTGACACAGTGAGACTCTGTCTCAAAAAAAAAAAAAAAAAAAGAAGGGGTAAATTTGATGTTATGTGTATTTTACCACCAAAAAAGACACGTACATAAAATATCCAATGGGAACCTTAGCTGGAATCCCTTAGGACCAGCCTTGATTGCTCTTAAACCACACATCTTCCCTCCACAGTGATCCTGGGGTCTTTAATTTAATATTCTAGTCTGCCCTTTCACCCCAAGAGCCTGATGAGGGAACTCAGCCTCCAAGAGCCCACCCTCACTCCTTCCCCGGCCCCTTACAGATACTGGCTGAACTACGAGGTCCATCTGGTGGAGAAGAGTTGGGCTGAGAGAGTGAACATGACTTTCGTGAAGGCTTTGGTCCAGAACTTCAGCACCGCTACCCCAGAAGACCTATTCTTCTCTCTGAAGCCCTCTCAGGTGAAGAGGACCCGTCCCTATGGGCTGGATGTAACCCTGTTTTCTTTGGGCACATATTTCAAAATGGGAACCATATCTCCCACTTGATGTCCATGAAGCCTATGGCTCTGGTTTCCCATTGGGTAGAACTCTGCCACCTTGTGCGTGGGGGCTCGTGAGTTAACTAGGTGCATGGATCCTGGTAATAGAATATCCTGGGTGCTCATTTGATGGATTGTCCTGGATGGACATTTGAAAGACCTGGGTTCTAGTCCTGGACTCCCCACTGCTTCTCCTCCAGAGAATCCCTATCCCTTCTCCCGGAGTCTTTATCTGCAAAATGAGCACTAAGTTTGTCCAAGCCTAAAATTCCCACAAGCTCGTCCAGCCAGGGGACACAGCAGAAACCAAGGAAAGCACACACTTGGCAGCCGCAGGGCTCCCCGGGCTGACTCTGGGTCACAGTGGTCTGGATACAAGTCTGGGCTCTGCCTCTTACCAGCCATTGTGATTGTGGGCAGATTATTTTCCTGAGCCTCGGTTTCCCCATCTGTAAAGTGCTGAAGGTATTGGCCACTTTCAAGACTAAGGGGAGGAGCAATGAGATAAACACAGGGAACGCTTGCTGCTACAAGTCTCCGTAACAGTCTCCAGCCTCCCTTAGGGAAGGACCCTGATGCGGCCGTTCGGGCAGCAAGATGAATTGGGTACTGGCAGGGTACTTTTAGGTCTGTCTGGAAACAGGGAAATGGAAGCTAGATGGGGCCTTTCTCATTTTCTCAACCCTTTATTACTTCACTTAAGCAGCCAAGCTCTTTGCGTGGGGCCCCAGAGGTCACCCACACACATCCTTTTGACATGGTCTGGACAGGGAAAGAGAAAGTTGGGGCCTTCAGCTTCTGAGCAGGCGAGGAGGGTCAGGCTGCTGCTTCCCCCCTACCGCCGCCACCCAGGGGACAGGAAGGTCAGGGAATGAACAACATGTGCTCTGCAATGACCACTGGAATTTAGTTCAATATTTTGGCCACTGTTCGTTTTTTGAAACTTTGTTGTTGTTGCTGGGTGGGGAGGATGTCCCAGTCAGCGTGAATTTGCCCATTCTCCTTCTCTGCCCTTGTTCTCTCCCTGAACTTCCTTCCTGATGGCTTCATTCTTTCTGTTTATTCCTGAGTCAGAAGCCAGACACTGTCACCGTCAAGCTCTGCATAAACATAGGGGCTGTTGGGACCCTGGCCAAAAGCGCACGGCAGCCCACTGTCCTCACACTTGAACAAGTGCTGTCTCTTCACAGTCTGTTCTCGGCCTCGCCTAAGCGGGGACACGGTCAGCTCTGTTCTCCAAATGGGGAAAACTGGGGCTCCACAGTGTCATCACTTATCTTGGAGCCCCCATTCTGTGAGGAACAGAGCTTGCACTGTGCCCCAAGTATCCTGCCTCCCAGAGCTGCCAGTGCCCAGGTGCTGCTCTACCATCCTGTGTGCCTCAGTTTCCCCAATGGCAGGACCCGTGTTGGGGGCTGGGTAAAGATGGGAGCTGCTGGGTCTGTGGTTGCAGATTCCGAGGCAGGTGATAAAGGGCGAGGATAAGCCTCCTGACCGAGTCCGGCTTCCCAAGAGCCTTTTTGGATCCCTGCCAGGCAACAGGACCCTTGTCCGGCTGGCCATCACTATTCTGAACATCGGTCCTGGCAGTCTCTTCAAGGTAAGGAGAGGCCTAACGAGGACTCAGGGAAGGTGATAGGTGCTGCAAGGTCCCCTGCCTCTGCGTCCCATGCCCCAG